CTGACTTTGCAAACTACCAACCCATCTCCACTTTCCTCATCAAAATTCTTCAAAGCCATGCTGGTCTTTCCTGGAACTCCACTTTTGAATTTCTCCATTCAGGCTTTTTCCCTGCTACAGTACCAAAATGGCTCTCAAAGTTACAAATGCAATCCTATTTGATTGTGACAAGAAGTCTTGTATCTTTATCGACCTTTGAGACAGTTGATGAAACCATGCTCCAACACCTCTCCATTGTTATCCAGCTGGGTGGGACTGCACTGCCTGGTTCCATTCCTACCTATCTGCAGTTGTTGCAATGGTTTTTCTTCACAGTTGTGCACCACTACCTCTAATGTCACCAAAGGATCTAACCCTCTCCACTGTTGCTTATTTACATGGTGCTCACCAAAATCTTAAAACGCAGCACCAGTTTCCACATGCACATGGATGACAAACAGCTCTATCTTACTACCCTTGATCCCTCTTACGTCTTTACAATGGTCAGACAGCTTTTTTGGCCTCTAGTATTGAATTAGGAGCATTTTCTCCAACTAATTATTTGAACTGTTGAAGCCAGGTCGCTATCACAAGCTCTAATTCTTCACCAGCTCCCATCCTCTCCCTGACAACTGCAAGCTAGCCAGACTGTTTGATCTGGAGATGAATTTCTAAACATTTATCTGTGCCATTAATAAAAGCACCTATTTCCATCACTGGGATTTATATACTTCACCTTTTCTCATGTTGCTGAACCCCCAATCACAACTTAATTCCCTTGATTTTATTATTCCAATACACTCCTGATTAAGCTTTTATGTGTTTCAATGTCAAATTTTGTTTTAGTGTAGTTCTAAAAAGCAAAATATAGTTGAGTTGTTGTTGAAAGGTTACCTTGATATATTGGGCTAAGTTTCAATGGGGAGAATAAATTAGAACCGAGATACCTTAATGCTATGATGCATCTAGGGCTAAAAAATTCGTAAACTAAATTGAGGGCAAGATTCATCCATTTACTGTTTTGTTCAAACTGAATTTAATTCCTACTTACCATTGTTCACTCAAATCCTGCCTACTCTTAATACCCTGAAGTAAATTTCAGGCACTACGTTTAAAAGTTGAACTTCTGGTTCAAGCTTGGAGTAACTTCATGATATCCTGCACAACCTCAGGAAGCTGCAAATCGACTAAATTAAATCTAGGCTGTTTTCATCCCAAATAGCTGCATAAAGTACCTCTGAATTGAAAATTTGCGCCCATTTCAAAAATTTAATATGCAAAGCTGTACAAAGGTGGATAAATTGCATGATCTGTTTGGTACACGCGCTCCTTAGAATTACATTTTATGTAACATTCTATAAAAAGCTCAGTGGACTCGAACCATTAACTCTGCATTCTCTCCACAGATGCTGCCATTCCGGAGTTTCTTTCGCAATTTTGGTTTTTGTTTCAGATCTCCAGCTTCTGCAGTTCTTTTGTTTTATTTTAAATGGCATGTCTCACTTTGGTAGTTACCCATTTGTTAGTTAAATCTGATTGTATATTCAATAAAAAATTAGAACTCGTACATTCCAGGCCATCCAATAAAATGCGATATTCTCTTTCTGAGATTGCAACACTTTGCACCTTCCTCACTACATTGTGACCTGCAATTTAGAGAAAAGGCAGACATAAAATCTTAATTTCCAGTGAATCAAGTTGATTTGAATGCTGAAGTGCCCTGGAATCATTGGCATGCGGCTATTATTAATATTGGGTGAATGACTGATTCAGATTGCCTCCAAATGTAAATAGAACCAGTCAGGCACATATGCTCTTCTTTAGTGTGTGACATTTGGATTGCTAACATTGTAAATTTTTACTTTGACTTGAACTTTTATTCCCTTCTAAAGAAAGTACTGAGCAGTTGAACATTATTCATACTAAAAGCCCATCATTGAAAAACTAAACAAGCTTAGAAGCACTTTGGACTATAATTAATGTGTGTAAATGGACATTCAAGCAAAAATGGATAGGAGTTGGTATTCAGAGAGAAGACAGGAGGCTCCAAACTTGTACATATCTTGGATCAGGGAGCAAGGGAGGTGGAAAGAGGAATATTATTTAAGATTATTCTTGTACAGGGAAATGACTGATTGTTGCTGGGGATTTCATTCAGAGAAAAGGTTGTGCTACAGAATCTACCGACCTAAGCAGGATGGAACAAATTTACTGCTCCTCAACAATATGGTCATTTGAACAGATAAATCTGCATGCCAATGGACAACAGGGAACCAATGACATAATTGTGACCTAGCTGAGCTAAATTGGTAAAGACAAAGTATAACAGATCAAAAGGTGCCAGATTTTATATCGGAGCTGTGCTGAGTTTTCAAATTTTGGCTGTCATGAAAGTTGAGGTGCTACAGTCAGCCTGTGTACTCCTGGAATGGAGAATAGAGGGAGCAAACAACAGTGTAATAGTGGAAATCAGGTCATGATTTCTGTGGAAAATTGCAAAGCCCATGACAGATCTAACACTTCAAAAGAATGATACACAAACTTAATCTGAACTATCAACATCTGGCCCCCCCACCCTCAGCACTCCACACCACAAGGTCCCCCACTCCCCACTAACTATGGCGATAAATGCTGTCCCCTGCACACTTCACCAGCTCTGACGAAGAGTCATCTAGACTCGAAACAGGATCAAGGAAAACTCCAAGGCTTTTTACACGTATGTGCAGAACAAGAGAATGACCAGAGAAAGGGTAGGGCCGATCAAGGGTTGTAAAGGGAATTTGTGCACAGAGCCTAAAGAGATAGGCGAGGTCCTTAATGAATACTTTTCTTCCGTATTCACAACTGAGAGGGACCTAGTTGTAGAATGAGGGTGTTGTGAAACAGGCAGGTAGGCTAGAGGAGGTTGATGTTAATAAAGAAGATGTGCTAGGAATTCTGAGGAAGTTGAAGATAAATAAGTCCCCCGGGCCTGATGGGATTTATCCAAGGATTCTATGGGAAGCAAGGGATGAGATCGCAGGGCCTTTGGCGATGATTGTTTCATCCTCACTGTCCACGGGTATAGTGCTGGAAGATTGGAAAGAGGCAAACGTCATTCCCTTGTTCAAAAAAGGGAACAGGGATAACCCCAGAAATTAAAGGCCAGTTCGTCTTACGTCAGTGGTGGGCAAATTATTGGAAAGGGCTCTGAGAGACAGGATTTATGATCACTTGGAAAGGCACAGTTTGATTTGTGATAGTCAGCATGGATTTGTGAGAGGTAGATCATGCCTCACAAACCTTATTGAATTCTTTGAAGAGGTGACCAAACACATGGATGAAGGTGGAGCAGTGGATGTGGTATACCTGGATTTAAGTAAGGCGTTTGATAAGGTTCCCCATGGTAGGCTCATGCAGAAGGTAAGGAAGCATGGGATAGGGGGAAATGTGGTAGATTGGATTCAGAATTGGCTGCCCCTTAGAAGACAAAGGGTGGTAGTGGATGGAAAATATTCAACATGGTGCTCAGTTACAAGTGGTGTACCACAAGGATTTGTTCTGGGTCCTCTTCTATTTGTGATTTTTGTAAATGATTTGAATGAAGGAGTGGAAGGGTGGATTAGCAAGTTCGCTGACGATACGAAGGTGGGTCACGTTGTGGACAGTGCGGAGGGCTGTTCTAGGTTACAAAGGGACATTGATATAATGCAGAGCTGGGCTGAGAAGTGGCAGATGGAGTTTAACCCTGAGAAGTGTGAGGTGATTCATTTTGGAAGGACAAACTTGAAAGCAGAATACAGGGTTAACAGAAAGATTCTTGGCAATGTGGAGGAGCAGAGGGATCTTGGGGTTCATGTTCACAGTTCCCTGAGAGCTGCCACCCAGGTGGATAGAGTTTAGAGTTGTTAAGAAGGCATATGGTGTGTTAGCTTTCCTTAATAGAGGGATTGAGTTCAAGAGCCGTGAAGTTATGCTCCAGCTATACAAAAGCCTGGTTCGGCCACATCTGGAGTATTGTGTCCAGTTCTGGTCACCTCATGTGGAAGTTTTAGAAAAGGTGCAGGGGAAATTTACCAGGATGTTGCCTGGATTGGAGGGAAGGTCTTACGAGGAAAGGTTGAGAGGGCTACGGCTTTTCTCTTTAGAACGACAAAAGGATGAGAGGTGACTTGATAGAGGTGTACAAAATGATCAGAGGTATAGATAGAGTAGACAGCCAGAGACTTTTTCCTAGGGTGGAGGTAGCTTTTACGAGGGGACATAGTTTTACAGTGAAAGGAGGTAGATATCAGGGAGACATCAGAGGTAGGTTCTTTACTCAGAGTGGTAGAGGGGTGGAATGCATTGCCGGAGAGGGTAGTGGAGTCGGCCTCATTAGGGGCATTTAAGCAGCTATTAGATAGGCATATGGATGATAGTATAAGGTAGCGGTGGAGGTTAGATAGACTTTGGGTTTAGGGTAAAAGTTCAGCACAACATCGTGGGCCGAAGGGCCTGTACCGTGCTGTACTGTTCTATGTTCAATGTTCTATTATTTTGTAAAGGGTGTAGAAATTTATGCAGATATATCCAAAATTTTCCCGCAAGTATAATGATGTCTAAAATGCAGAAATACTAAATATTTGCCTGTTTGTGCTGCTGTCATCAGGTCTTAATTTCTGCATCCCAGACAATATACCTAACCCAAAAAAGGAACTGAAATAATGAAAGATAATGAAAGCAGATTTATTTCTCTCCAAGGCCAAACTCTTCCGCAGATCAACTGTAAGTATTACCTATGTTTTTAGACTTGAGGAGGCCCATTAGGGACTGGTGCCAGAAATGTTGAATCAAATGGAAAAACATTAAATTAAACTTTAAAAAAAGTTACAACAATAAACTGTTTTGTACATTTCTTGGATTAAAACGTTCAGACAATCAGGCTCTATAAAGACTTACTTCAAGTCCTAAACCTCAGCGATTAATATGACATACTGTATTGCTGATAGTATTTGGTTCCTCTCAAACTTTGTTAGTGGAGAAAATAAATCATAAATCCATTGCATTCCCAGTGATATTTAATCTGAATTCACAGAAATTACACTCACATTGTAGAAAAATCCATTGCACAGAAATCCTCAATGTGCATTTAAACAGAGAAAAGTCAAAATAGCTCAGACTGAACCAAACCCAAAACAGATGGTTTATGGCTTCCCAACAGGGGGATTAAAGCTCCTAAAATAAACGTTTCTGTTAAATTTTAAAAAAGCAGATCCACTTCAAATGTAATCAAGCCAAATAGGCGATTGTGCAATCAAGTGTGTTAAAGTTGCACTTTAGGACTCTGTGGTCACAAGTCTGCATCAGCGATTTATTCAAATATGCTTTCTCTGGGTTATGTCTTGAGTAACTTTTTCTGCAGCACAACTCCAGAATGTTTACTCTAAAAGAATTAAAAAAAGATTACATGAAGTTAAAATAAGTCACAAATTCTTAATTTTATTTATTACACAAAAAAAGTTACATTAATCTTTTTTTACTAATGGAAAACAATTAACTATTTGACAACTGTTTTGATTGAACCATGTGCTTGTTCTCATTGAATAGTGGAATGAACTCAATGGGCTGAATGGTTTACTTCTGCCCCTAGGTCTTATGGTAAACCACCAAAGTCTAGAAATTTTATAAATTACTTCATTAGTATTCACATTTATTTTGTGGCATTGGATATGAAAAGTCTTCTAAGCCTAGGGATGCACGAGGCAGACAAAACATATGCATCTATTTTTGCTAGTTTGTATATCCTAGAATAGGTCACCAAGCCAGTTGATAATCAACCTGTTTGACCACGTATGCATGAGCCATCTGTGACCATCCAGTCCTGGTGTAGATCTGAGTGGAAACCTTAATTCTCAGAGCTAAAACATGTGCATTTCCCTTTAGTAATTAGGTCTAAAGCAGCGTACAATTGATGAGATAGCGAATTTATCTCCAACTTTAGCGTCAAAGACAACTCTAATCATGGAACTCCAACGTCGCAATGTCAGGGCAAATGAAGTGAACTAGGATTTTGTCTAGACAAAACAACGAGAGGTAGGATTTTATTCTTTTCTAAAACGGAAAGGGTAAAGCAGAATCTATTAAGTGCCTTTACAATTAAGCTGAATTGACATTGAAGGTGACCTTAGAACAGCAACTAAATGAAAGGAGAGAATTAAAATCTATTCTAATAGGACTTTTAAGGACCATGTCATAAAAAGAAAGGTTTATGTCCAGTGCTATCATGATATGCTGTAATTATGTTTGCAACACTAAATGTTTGGGGTGGGGGACCCTGTACAAATAAACCATTTGCTGGAACAAGCAAGAATCTAGAACTGATGCAGTTATTATGCTTCAAGTTTAAAAACACCACATTTTGGTGAAGTTAGCATTCTTATGAAATGTACAAATTTGCCAGCTTTTGATGAGCAAATACCAAAACATAAAGCTTAGTCAATGTCATAGTTCTCTCGATGAGATTTAATGGAATATAAACTGTGTTGAGGGAACAGTTAGGTAGTACGGAACACTTTGCACTTCCTACACAAATAGGAGGGTGCTGTCAATGTAATAGTAAAGGATTTTGTTATGGTGATGGATAGAAAAGAACACAGAAGTTCTCAAAAACTTAGTCACAAGATACCCGAGCTAGATACGATGTATCCAAGATCCTGAGGGAAGTCAGAATGAAAATTACCAGTGATCTGGTTGCGACTTTCCAATCCTTCTTTGGTATTCAAGAGGTATCAGAGGACTGGAAGAGTGTTAATAATGCATCTTGGTTTTTAAAAAAATTAAGAGGTATTGACAAGTCTGCCACAGGCCATTCAGCCTAAAGTCACTGGTGGGAAAGCTCTTGAGGCAGTGTCCCAGGAAAAAAGTTAAGTGGCAGGTAGACAATTATACTCTAACAAACAACGGCCAACACACAAGCTGAAACAAATTGCATACATCTAACTCGATAGAATTGAGAATAGTATGTTTGATGTCCAGCCTTCAGAGGTTAAGTTATGAGAAGAGGATTGATGGAGGGCAGAGCAGTGGACATGATCTACATGGACTTCAGTAAGGCATTCAACAAAGTTCCTCATGGTAGACTGGTTAACAAGGTTAGATCACATTGAATATAGGGAGAAGTAGCTATTTGGATACAGAACCAGCTCAAAAGGTAGAAGACAGAGGCTGGTGTGGAGCGTTGCTTTTCAGACTGTAGGCCTGTGACCCATGGTGTGCCACCAAGATCAGTGCTGGGTCCACTACTTTTTGTCATTTATATAAGGGATTTGGATGTGAACATAGGAGGTATGATTAGTAAGTTTGCAGATGACACCAAAATTGAAGGTGTAGTGGACAGCGAAGGACACTACCCCAGAGTACAACGGGATCTTGATCAGATGGGCCAATGGATCAAGGAATGGCAGATGAAGTTTAAAATTAATGCGGTGCTGCATTTTGGAAAGGCAAATCAGGGCAGGACTCATACACTTAATGGTAAGGTCCGTGAGTGTTGCTGAACAAAGACGTCTTGGTGTACAGGTTCACAGTTCCTTGAAAGTGAAGTCATGGGTAGATAAGATAGTGAAGGCAGCATTTGGTATACTTGCCTTTATTGGTCAGAGCACTGAGTATAGGAGTTGGAAGGTCATCTTGCATCTGTACAAGACATTAATTATACCACTATTGGAATACTGCATGCAATTCTGGTCTCCCTGCCATAGGAAGGATGTTGTGAAACTTGAAAGGGCTCAGAAAGTAATTACAAGGGTGTTGCCAGGGCTGGAGGGTTTGAGCTATAGGGAGAGGCTGAATAGACTGGGGCTATTTTCCCTGGAGCGTCAGAAGCTGAGGGGTGACCTTATAGAGTTTTATAAAGTCATAAGGGCATTGATAGGGTAAATAGACAAGGTCTTTTCCCTAGAGGAGTCCATGGACGAGTTGGACTGAAGGGTCTGTTTCCGTGTTGTATATCTCCATGACTTTATGACTGTAAAAGAGATTACACAAATTAGGTCTGTATTTTCTAGAATTTAGAAGATTTCAAAGTTTAACAAGAAAACAAGATAACTATTTTCACTGGTTGGGGATTCTAGAACCAAGGGCCATAGTCCAAAAATTACAGCCCAACTACTTAGGAGAGATGTTTGGAGGCACTTCTATACAAAAAGCTTAGTAGACATCTGGAACTCTCTTCCACAAACAGCAGTGGATTTATAATATCTTTGCTTAACAAATATTTAAGGGATATGGGCCAAAGGCAAGTTAGGAGTTAGGCCACAGATCAGCCATGATCTCACTGAATGGCAGAACAGGATCAGGAGGCTGAATGGCTTACTCCTGTTTTAATGTTCCTATAATTTGTACATGAGCTTTCAAAGGTATTTTATTTAGTTTACGGTGAACCTTTAACAAACTTAAGCCCATGGGATTAAAAGGCAGAGGCAGTACTGGATACAAAATTAGCTAAGGGGCAGAAAGTAGAATATGATGAAAGTTTTTCAGGCTGAAGCACTTTGAGGTGTTATCTCATTGAAGGCACTATGCAAATGCTATGGTTGTTAATTGTAACTGATTGCAGGTGAACAGAGACACTGGTGAAATAGCCAGGCACAAGACAGATTAATTTTAAACATAGAAATATATAACAGGATTTTGCCAGAAAGAATGCGAAGAAGGAGTACAACCTAAGTGGGGACAGTGTTAAGGGAAATGCACATTAGGCACACCTGGTGGGGCACATATTCTCAGATCTTTGAAGGCAACAGCATTTAGAAGTTAATCATTTGGAAGTTAGTTACTTTAAATTTATTGAAAATTGAATTTAAGTGATTAACAACATTAAAAACAATTTAAACAGTTTGTATGTCTTACAAATCCTAACCGTAAGGGCTCTTATAGTGTATAGGTAGTGTCCCTACCTCTGATCCAGAAGACTTGAGTCCAAATCCCACCTATTCCACAGGTGTGTCACAACACATCTGAACAGATTGACTAATAAAATGTACAAACACTCACCATTCCTCAATTTCCTTTCCTGAAGGTGCTGACTGATGTTGACACAGTTGTTTGGTTGAGTTTCTCATGGCAATCTTATACAAGAGAAGGGACTTGACTCGTATGGATAAAATAAGAAATGAAAAACTACCTAATACTCCTGCCTAGCCCCTCCTAACAATACGAGCATATACTCACCAAAGCAGTCAGCGAGCCCCAGGGTGTGGTCCTATATTCTGATTTTGCATTTTCAATCTGCTATGGAATGTAAATGTAGTTCAGCAGTTAATTTATATGTCATGGCAGGACAAGTTACAACTTAGATTGAATTAATTCAAGAGTTTTAATCCAGAGCAGTTCATAGTAGGTATATTAAGTGTATGATACTATCGTGCCAGATTTTTCTTTTGAACAAGGCAGTTCATATCTGCACTTATACACTTTACAATCTGGCATATATGTGTGGGATTACACCAAAATAAGATGCCTCTCTATTAGAAGCATAAACATTTATAACAAGGTGGGTACCAGTGAAAATTTAACCCACACTCATCAAGGACGAGTGAAAATCCAAGGCTCAAACACTACCATATCGTAATTGGCCCCACCATTGGGACCAAAACCCAGTCCCCCAGCCCACGGGGAAAGATGATGGGAACCAGGGGGTAGATATTACAGGCAAAACCAATTAAGAAGCCACTCTCGGGACTGCTGTTCAACTGAGGTCAGCTCATCAGAGCTGCCAGGACAATCAGAGGACTGGCAGCTCTGTAGCACCACTGAAAGTGATAACCGCTGTTGTGGCCACAGGAAGAAGAGGGTGTTGTTGTTGAGAGACCCCTGAAGGCCAAGCAGGCAAGTTTTTTTTTAAAATGTCTCTGTATCAGGGCCATACAGGCAAGCCTTGGCAATTAGAGATGTTAGCCTTTCAGTTGCAGCACTTGGGTTGCAGGGGCAGCCATCTGATGCCCCTCCAAGGAGCAAGCAAGGCCCAACCAGCCCACTAGGGAACCCTGCACTGAGAGGCTTATATAATTTACCACACAGTTGGTAAATGGTGTTTCATACCAAGTGTAAACTCATTTTGAGGAAAGATGAACTGATAGCAACTGCATGCTGCACTCTGGGGAAATGATTCAGAGTTAGCACTTTCATTTTTGTGGATGGATGCAGTAAAGTTGAAGTGTGTTGCAAGTTGTAATCGTTGTGAAATGCGTACATACCAGAAACTCAACCTATAATTCCTCTTAAGTGTTTACAGTTTCAAAAGGGTTTCATGAATTAGGAAGAAGCAACATTCTGAGGTGTAAATATGAAATAAGCGGGTTTCAATTCTAGGTTTTGTGCAAAAAAACCTAGAAGAGTTAACTGTTTAAATACAGATTCAATTCCAACAAGAATAATAAATACATATGCCCCATAAGCATTTGTACAGGAATACTTTCAACCAGGGTTGACTACTTTTCCAAGGTGACAGCAGGGGAGTTATAATTGGTCTCAGTGTCCTTGGCTGAGAAGACAATGTAAACTTTCCCTCTCACGCTGCACTCCCCAAACCTGGTCACTAATTCTAATGCATTTTCAAATATGGGGTCATTTGGTGTGGGCAGAATTGATCATAGCTGTAGTATTCCCTATAGTTAAATAGAATACCAACTTAATAAGAAACAGGAGGAGATGTCCATTTAGGCCCTTAAACATGCTCTACCAGTCAATAAGATCAAGGCTCATCTGATGTGGCCTTAACTCCGCTGCCTACCTACTCTTGATAACACAACTCCCTTGATAATCAATCAATCCAACACCGGCACCTCAATCAAAAATCTGTTCAACCTTAATTGGAAGATATTCAAGAACCTGTTCTCTGCTAGGGGAGAGAATTCCAACCACTAATGACCCTTTAAGAGAAGAATTTTTTGCTCTTCTCCACGTTAAATGGCTGACTTCTTATTTTGAAACTGTTTCTCCTCATTCTAGATTCCCACAAGGTGGGGAGACATCCTTGTAATATCTACCATCTCAGACTCCCTCAGAAGTTAAATATGTCAATATCAGCACCTCTCACTCCCAATTCTGTTGTTTCTTGGTTATTTTTGTTTCTTAAATCCACTTGTTTGGACATGTGATGCTCCCTCCAGGGCAGGTGGGACTTGAATCCACACATTTTAGCCTAGAAGTAGGCACATTACCACAATCCTTAGTTTTTTTGTATACAAACTTATCTTTGCAGCAAATTACCCTACCAAAGATGTGCAAATATCACGAAATGTTATTAATATCCAAATCAGCCATCAACAGAAACAGTTACTTCCATTAAAAACTGCACCTAATGGATCTGGCTGGATCCGAGCAGCGAAAAAAGTCCAAAAGCAAACATCTGAAGGAAGGAATTAACAGAAACCATTGATTGCGGTCCCTGGGTAATGTTATCAGCGCGCTTGGCAATGGAAATAATCACAACGCCTCTGTACTACACAGAGACTTAAAACTAATAAGATTGTTGCAAAAATTGCTTTGTGGAAATGTTAATGATAGTGCGTGTGGGTCCTGCTGATTTTAATATTGAATTAACTCATTGGACATTTTGTGGTGAGGAAGAGATACCCAATAAATTATAAATCAAGACATGTTGAGTGATTTCTGCCACTCCATTGTCAGCCTCATTAGCAAGCGGCCTAAATGACACCTCACTTATAGTATCCCTACAAGTTTCACAAACATTTTACACTTTCAAACTATTTGCTCAGTGAACTCACAACATACAATCAAGTTAGTAATTAAACTTCTAAGTATCCTTTTAACAATGAGATCATTGTGAATGACTAATCAATTTCTCTGGCCCAGAAAGGAAACAATTAGAAAGTATGGAGCCTTACACCTTCAGCTTGGGAATTACATTTTTATTCTTCATTTTGGTCTCTCCAATGGAATCTTTATTTCCCAACTTATTTCTCTATTTGGAATTCACAAATCCTAATTCAGCCTTCTTCTCAATCCTTCCATCTTATCATTTAAAGATGATCCCCAGTTTGTCCTATTGTTCATTGAAGTTCCCTGTACCTTCATGCTGTTTCACACCTCCACTGATTGTCAAGAGCGATAAATTATGAGTGAAAGGGTGCAATGAAAGTTCTAAATAATTGAACTCCATGCCAGTAAATCCTGGCCATGTGTGTTTGTCTCCAGAATCAAGCAACTCTCTTGGGTGTGAACTCAGATCTGAACTGTCATTCTAAGTTGGGAATGCAGAGACAAGTCAAATGACTCTGAAATGAGTCTGTGGGCTAATGTATGTGTGTGGCATACAATATGCTGGGCTATGCCCTTCAACCCACCCACCATGACCCTCTTTCTACGACACCAATCTTGGCCCTCCCTCATCTTTATAGTCCCTATGCCAACTTAGTGCCAAATTATGATCCTCCCCAAACTTTGCTCTACCCGCTCCATGCCAATTCACTTGCTATCCACCAGAGACCAACCTCAGAAACCATATTGACATAAAATGAAGTTGGTCTCTGTTGGTCACTATTAAAATATTACTATTAAAACAATTCACATTGATTAAAAAAAATCAATTGCAATGAAATTCCTTGAATGACTCTCTTATGAAAACATTTCTATTCTAGAAGCACAAAAATGCTTACTTAACACGCTGTGTAAAAAGGTCGTGTAATCAGTCATCCAGCATAAATCCCAACTTTTCACATTTAAAAAAAATTAAGCCCAATAGTTGACAGTTTTTACAGTTCCTTGACAGTCCCAAAGTTTATGTACTTCTTACACACAAGCATGTATCCTTTTAGAACCCCAAAGGAGCATGTGAAAGGCAACTTACTTCGCCCAATGGTGTCCTGTAACTAGGTTTAAAGAGGGGTACCCTGGCTATTTAAGAAAATATATAAACAAACCTGCTCTATTTTTTAATGTAAACAGGTGGAAATCAGTAGAAACAACCCCGTGCCAAGACTCAAACCAACATTAGTATAATACTTTTATGAATCTTAGATTTTAAATTGCATATCATTTAATCATTACTCAAATACATCAAGCAGACCAGACCAGAGATGTACAGCAGGGAAACAGACTCTCTGGTCCAACTTATCCATACTAACTAGATAGCCTAAATTAATCTCCCTAAACCCTTCCTATTCAGATGCTTTTTAAATGTCGTAATTGTACCAGCCTCCATCACTTCCTCTGGCAGCTCATTCAATACATGCACCGTCCTCTGTGTGAAAAAGTTGATCTTTACGTCCCTCTTAAATCTTTCCCCTCTCACCTTAAACCTATGCCCTCTAATTTTGGGCTCCACTACCCTGGGAAAAAAATCCTTGGTTATTCACTCTATCCATGCCCCTCATGATTTTATAAACCTTGATAGGGTCACCCATCAGTCTCCAACACTCCAAGGAAAATAGCCCCAGCCTATTCAGCCTCGCCCTATAGCTCAAATCCTCCAACTCCAGCAAAATACTTGCAAATCTTTTCTGCAACCTTTCAAATTTAACAACATCTTTTCTACAGCAGGGAGACCAGAACTGAATGCAGTATTCCAAAAGTGGCCTAACCAATGCGTGTACAACTGCAAGCTGATATCCCAACTCCTATACCCAAACCAATAAAGGCAAGTGTACTAAACCTGTGACTTCACCTTCAAGGATCTACGAACCTGCATTCCAAGGTCTCTTTGTTTGGCAACACTCCCCAAGACCCTACTATTAAGTGTATAAGTAGTCCTACCCTGATTTGCCTTACCAAAATGCAACACCCCACATTTATCTAAATTATACTCCATCTGGCCCATCAGCCCATCTGTTGTACTCTGAGATAACCTTCTTCACAGTCCACTACACCACTAATTTTGATGACATCTGCAGACCTACTAACCATTCCTCCTATAATCACATCCAAATCATTTATATAAATGACAAAAAGCAGTGGACCCAGCACCAATCATTGCAGCACCCTCCTGGTCATGGGCCTCCAGTCTGAAAAACAACCCTCCACCACCACCCTCTGACTCCTACCTTCACGCCAATTTTGTATCCAAATGGCTAGGTCTTCCCTGGATTCCATATGACCTAATTTGCTACCATGCACAATCTTGTTGAACGCCTTGCTGAAGTCCGCATAGACAATGTCCACTGCTCTGCCTTCATCAATCCTCAGTTTTTTTTTTGAAGAAGTGACAATCAAATTAGTGAGACATGATTCCCCATGCACAAAGCCATGCTGACTTTCCCTAATCAGTCCTTGTCTTCCCAAATACATGTAGATCTTGTCCCTCAGAATCCTTTCCAATAACCTACTCACATCACTGACTCTACGTCAGGTTCACCTATCTATAGTTCCCTCGTTTTTCCTTACCACCTTCCTTAAATAATGAGACCACAAGCTATTAATGAAACAAATATCTCAGCAAGGGGCCCAGCAATCTCAAATCCAGCTTTCTGCAAAGTTCTGGATAGTGAAGTGGTCACTCCTCAGGTGCAGGCTGCAGGTAGCCGGGTAACCACCAGAAGAGGTTTAAAAAAAAAAGGGTGAAGGCAGATAGTACAGGGTTCCCCTGTGGCCATTCCCCTCATTAACAGGTATACTGCTTTGGATACTGTTGTGGCCGGGGGTGGGGTGGAAATGACCTTTCAGGGGCTAGCAGCAGTAGTCAGGTCAGTGGCACTGTGACTCGCTCGGAGGCTCAGAGGGAAAGGGTGGAGTCCAACAGAGCAATACTGATAGGAGACTCAATTGTGAAGGGGACAGACAAGAGATTCTGTAGCCGCAGAAGGGGCACCAGGATGGTGTGTTGCCTCTGGGGTGCCGGGGTCAAAGAGGTTTCTGAGCAGTTGCAGAGCATTCTAAAAGGGGGAGGGTGAACAGCCAGAGGTCGTTGCGCACATTGGTACAAATGACACAGGTAGACAGAGGGATGGGGTCCTGTGAAATGAGTATAGGGAGTTAGGTAAGAAGTTAAAAAGCAGGACCTTAAGGGTAGTGATCTCTGGATTACTCCCAGTGCCATGTGCCAGTGAGGACTGAAAGGGAAAGATAGACCAGATGAACGCATGGCTGAGGACTGGTGTAGGGGGCAGGGTTTTCCATTCTTGGATCATTGGGATCTCTTCTGAGGTAGACATGACCTGTACAAGAGGGACAGATTGCACCAGACAGGGTCCAATATCCTCATGGGGAGATTTCCTAGTGTTACCCGGGAGGGTTTAAACTAGTTTGACAAGATCTGGGACTCTGAATAAGAGAGAGGCCATCGAGAAGTCAGGGGAAAATACATCAGCTGTCAAGAGCAAATTTACTATTCAGGATAGCTAGGGGCATAGTAAAGGGAGGGAAAAGACTTCTGGTTTAAAATGCATTTATTTTCAACTGGTAAGGCAGATGAGCTGACAGCATGGATTGGCTCTGGGGACAGAAACATGGCTGAGTGAAGGGCAGGACTGGCAGCTCAATGTTCCAGGATACAGAAGCTACAGACATGACAGAAGTACAAGTAAGCGAGGAGGGGGAGTTGCCCTTTTGATAAGGGAGTACATAACAACTGTGCTTAGACAGGATATTCTTAAGGGGTCATCAAACGAGGCCATATGGTTAGAATTTAGAAACAAGATGGGGATGGTCACTCTGTTGGGATTGTATTATAGACCCCTAAATAGCCAGCGGGTACTAGAGGAACAGATGTGTAGAGAGCAGATACCCGTAGGAATAACACAGTAGTATCAGTTGGAGATTTTAATTTCCCATGTTGACCGAGCCACCCAGAGGATAAAAGGCCCCGACAGGGTGAAATTTGTCATATGTCCAAGAAAGTTTCCTAAAATCAATATGTAGAGGGTCCTACTTGGGAATGCGCAACACTGGACCTCCTCTTAGGAAAGGAGGTTGGGCAAGTGTCTGAAGTGTCAGTCGGACAGCACTTTGGGTCCAGTGACCATAACGCTCTTAATTTTAACATAGTTGTGGTCAAAGATTGAACAGGTCCACAGGTTAAGGTGCTAAACTGGAGCAGGGCCAATTTTGGTGCCATTAAGCAGGATCTAGCAAAGGTCAATTGGCTGAATCTGTTTGAAGAAAATAGAATGACTGACAAATGGCAGGCTTTAAAAAGAGTGATATCAAGAGTCCAGGGAAAGTATGTCCCTGTTAGGGTGAAGGGAAAAGCTGGCAGGTTTAGGGATCCCTGGCTGATGAGGGATATTGAGGGTCTGGTCAGGAAAAAGGAGGAGGCATGCATTGGGTTTAAGTTATTGGGCTCAAGTGAATCCCTAGTTGACCATAAAAAGTGTAGGAGCACACTTAAGTGGGAAATCAGAACAGCAAAAAGACAGTATGAAATGGATTTGGCAGATAAGGTTAAAGATAATCCCATGATGCTTTATAGCTATATTAAGAGTAAAAGGGTGGCTAGGGAGAGAATAGGTTTCCTTAAAGATCAGTATTGCCGTCTGTGTGTTGAGCCACTGGAGACGGGGAGATTTTTAATGAATATTTCTCCTCAGCGTTTACTGAGGAAGGAGGAAGTAAGGGAACTAATGCTAAGGAAATAAGGAAAACAAGTGGGGATGTTTTGGACCGTATACACATTATCAGAGAGGAGGTGTTTGCAGACTTAAAGTGCAGTAAGTTGGATAAATCCTCAGGGCCTGATCAAGTCCACCCTCAGACATTGTGGGAGGCTAGGGAAGAAATTGCAGAGGCCCTTGCAGAGATTTTTGCTTCATCTTTAGCCACTGGTGAAGTTCCGAAAGACTAGAGGGTGGCTAATGTTGTTCCATTGTTTAAGAAAGGTAGCAAAGACAAGCCAGGGAACTACAGGCCAGTCAGCCTGACATCAGTAGTGGATAAGTTATTGGAGAGAATACTGAGTGACAGAATCAACCAACATTTGGATAAACAAGGTCTGATTTGGAATTGTCAGCATAGATTTGCACGCAGGAAGTCACGTCTGACAAATCTTTGAGTTTTTCAAAGAGGTAACCAAAGGGGTAGATGAGGGTAGGGCAGTGGACGTTGTCTGTATGGACTTTAGTAAAGCCTTTGGCAAGGTCCCACATGGCAGGCTGGTCAGGAGGGTTAGGTCGCATGGGATCCAGAGAGAACTAACTAATTGGATTCAAAATTGGCTCAATGGTAGGAAGCAGAGGGTGATGGTTGAAGTTTGCTCCTTGGACTGGAGGCCTGTGACTACTGGTGTGCCACAGGGGTCGGTGCTGGGACCTTTGTTATTTGTTATTTACATAAATGACCTGGATGTGAATGTACAAGGCATGATTAGGAAGTTTACAGATGATACAAAATTAGGAGGTATCATTGATAGCAAGGAAGGTTATCAAAAATTACAGAGGGATCTTGAGCAGATGGGGAAAATGGGCTGAGGATTTGCAAATGCAATTCAACACAGAAAAGAGAGAGGTGTTGTACTTTGGAAAGTCAAACCATACAGAGTATTTAAAATTTTACCAAATTAGTGTGAAAAAAAAAGGATCTAGACCCAAAACGTTAGCTTGCTCTCTCTCCATGGATGCTGTCTGAACCACTGATCTCCTGCATTTGTTGTTTTCAGCGAAAAAAATATTGTTTTGCGTCACAGATAACAAATTCCCTGATTCACAGGACGTTTTGCAATTATCTGCCTTCTTAACGCTAGCCTGCATCTTGCTAGAGCCCATACCATTGCAGATACCGCAAGCTGATAACTATATCATGGGCAACAGGAAAGTTCGGATTTTTGTGAACAATGGGAAAGCAGTCTGCCTCCTTAATCGGTGAGCAAGAAGCAGAGGAAGAACAAAGAAGGAAAGAGAATGAATGAGAGTCGGAGAGAGATAGAGAGGGAAAGAATTATTCTAAGAACGAAGGAAAGAGACAAAATGAATAAAAAAAAAATAAAACTTTGACATTTTGAACATTTCTTAATTTACTACATACAACTGAATACTTAAAAATTGTTCCCATTCTGGCACTGCATTGACAATGAACACCACTGTATAGTGCTTCTGCTATTAAGTACCAGGTTTGATCTCATGGTAGGTTTGTGCAAATTCACCATATTCTTACAACTAAAAATGCTAAGATGACATATCGTTTGTGTAGAACAAAAAGAAAAGTGATGCAAATCAATCAGTAGATTCTAGAGATTTGCAACTCTCAGTATCTCTCCAACATCTGAACGCAGTGGCTGATTTGTAGTTAATAAAGACTCACGTTGATAACATACTGTGATAGGTTTAGACATTCTTTAATACTTACCATTTCTGTGTATCCTGCAGATACCTTCAGTTTCTCTGTTACAATTTCTTGTATGCATCTACTAAGTAGAAAGGCCTGCAAAAGTTTATTATTAATAGTTATGGCAGCAACAAGATGTTTGTTCACATTTCAGTACATACACTGCCAGATTGGTGGAACCATTACTAGTTACTTATCTATTTGCTAATTGCAAAATAATGCCAGTTGAAATCATTCCTAACTAATTTCCCAACTACTTTAGTTAGGGACAAAAAAAAACTGTAGATGCTGGAATCCAAGATAGGCAAACAGGAGGCTGGAAGATCACAGCAGGCCAGGCAACATTTGGAGGAAAGGAGCAGTCGAAGGGTAATACCCGAAACATTGACTGCTCCTTTCATCCAGGTGCTGTCTGGCCTGCTGTGTTCTTCCAGCCTCCTGTTTGTCTTCCCAACTATCTTGTCCTCCCTTTTTTTTTTATTCTGCATCTTCCAATCCCCCATCTCTTGACCTGGCACACCTTAGAGTGGGAACTAAGTTAAATGGATCAGGAGCATCAAACTAGTGGCCTTCTTGCTCATCAGCACTGAGGATTGGTGTTTCAATACCTAGGGAACTCCACTCTAAACCCAAAAGTAATTGCGTTTAGAAGCAGAATTGCAAGAAATACAGCAAATGAGAGATCCAATGCACTGCAGTATGGAGTGGCAGGTGACAAGTGACAAGTAGATTTGTAGCTCAGGTTGTGGATGCTGTGGTTGGTTCGTTTGCCAAGCTGGTTCATTAGTTTGCAAACATTTCATTGCCCTGCTGGGTAACATCATCAGTGCAGCCTCCGATGGAGCGCTGTTGTATTTTCCACTTGCTATTTAAACTCTGGGATCCGTTGGAGTTGTTTACCTCATTTCCGGTTTTTCTTTGCAGTGGTGTATATATAGGGTCAAATTCTACGTGTTTATTGATAGCCTTCTTAGTGGAGAACCAGGCCTCCAGAAATTCCCATGCTTGTCTCTGTTTGGCTTGTCCTAGGTTGGGACAACGTCAGGATCCACACTTTTCATGCTCTATGTTTGCCCGTTCAACGTGAGTCTCAAATTGCCATTTATGGAGCTGAGGAATAAATTGCCAACTTCAAGCTCATTGCTAAGAGCGATGTGTATTGTCTTACAACAGGGAGAAGAAAGAAACAACCAGGTCCATAAAATTAACAGCTTTGGTAGCTTTTCTGTTCAACAGGCTCAAGGGGCTTAAATGGCTTTGTTCTGTATTTGTACTTCTAGCGGTCAACTGAACTTCTAAATGGTAGGGAGATTTTATTTGAACCTCACTACAACACATCCACCCCCATCTCCCCCATACCCTCCAACCTTGTCCAATGCTTCTTTTAATCTCACCGCGCCATTCTATAGATTACTTATAAATGGATCTTGTGGAACAGGAAATAGCTGCTCCAAATTCAAAGTATACCTTTCTTAATATTTTTATCACTAACTAAAAAGGGGTTTGTAGTAGATAGAAGCCACACAGAAATTTATGGCTTAGACTGTAATATACTTGCAAATAAAGTTATGCAATAAAGAGGGGAACAGTTACAGTGATAATCTGAAAGCTCGTAGCAAATTTATGATTCTTATATATGACTATAAAAGGGAAAACCATTTGTGGAGAAAACAATTTTTGGTAAACTTAATTTCGAAAGGGAACAGAGTAGAGAAATTCAGATAGGAAGAAGCTGTGTTTTTAAAATTTAGTGGAAGTAACAGAGTAACACTGAAGAAAAATTAATGGGACATAGTACAGCTTTTAACAAAACGATTGAAATTTCCAATCCTATTTTCATTTTCTCTTTCTCCTGTTGAAGAAAAGCTTCCACTCTATTATTTGTTGAAGTTTTCAGCTTGAATCATCATTGTTAGCAGTTTTGATTTAATCAACACATTGTGCTTCTTTGTTGAACAGTACAGGAACCGAGTTCCTTAAAGGTGGTTTATTATTGTCCTTCTCATGATCAAATCAAGTCTGTCTAAACTAGCCCCTCAAAAGGAGGAAAGCTAATAGAATGAAGAACAAACCTGATGGAACAAATGGCCTCCTCCACATATACTTTTCTTTAAAGAAACTTGAGCTAAGATCCTAATTAAGATCCTATTTGAGGAATACTCACTTCATACGGTAGTTCAAAGTGGCCCAAACCAACAGACATTTTTGAGCAGAATACAGAAAACACTTAACAACTGCAAGATGTTTCATTACTGAAACAGCTGCAAGAAACTCACTCTGATACCTAGGAAACTGCTACATACTGCAAATGCAGTGGGACAGGATCTCTGCTGATTAAGTGTCCCCACTGTGCACACTGTAGTCAGCAATTAAACATATACTTTTCAGATCCTAATACTGAGTGACCCACGTACACTACACCAGAGAAATATCATAGTGCCATTATGATGTTGGGTCAAAAGCCTGGAATTAGCACCGCACAGGACAATGTAACGAGTTGGACTGCAGAGTTTCCTGGTAACAGCTCACCACCACCTCTCAAGTTCAATTAGGGATAAGCAACAAATGGTGCCAATTGCCAGTAAAATCATGCCCCATGAGTTAAGAAAGACTTTTCCAATCCATTGTTAAAAGTCAGAAATCAAAAATCCCAACTTTCTCAGTGGCAATGGTACAGGTAGGCAATGGCCTAGTCGTATTATCACTAGACTATTAACCCAGAAACCTAGCTAATGTTCTGGGGACCTGGGTTCGAATTTCACCACAGCAGATGGTGGAACTTGAATTCAATAATTTTTTTTAAAAAAAGTGTCTGGAATTAAGAATCTACTGATCACCATGAAATCATTGCTGATTGCCGGAAAAACCCATCTGTTTCATGAATGTCCTTTAGAGAAGGAAAACTGCCATCCTCACCTGGTCTGGCCTACATGTGAGTCCAGACCCACAATTGTGTGGTTGACTCTCAAGTGCCCTCTGAAATGGTCTAGCAAGCCACTCAGTTGTACCAGTCGCTACAAAGTCTCAAAAGAAATGAAACCGGACGGATCACCTGGCATTGACCTAGGCACAGGACAAGACAACGGCAGAAACAGCCCTGTCGACCATGCAAAGTCCTCCTCACAAACATCTGAGGGTCAGTGCCAAAATTGGGACAGCTGTCTCATAGACTAGTTAAGCAACAACCTAACATTGTCATACTTACACAATCATACCTTACAGATGTCCGAGACACCACCATCACCATCCTTGGATATGTCCTGTCTCACCGGCAGGACAGACACAGCAGAGGCGGTGGAACAGTGGTATACAGTTGGGAGGGAATTGCTCGAGGAGTCCTCAACATTGACTCCGGACCCCATGAAGTCTCATGGCTACAGGTTAAACACAGGCAAAGAAACCTCCTGCTGATTACCACATACTGTCCTCCCTCAGGTGATGAATCGGTACTCCTCCATGTTAAGCAACACTTGGAGGAAGCACTGAGAGTGGCAAGGGCACAAAATGTACTCTGGGTGGTGGATTTCAACGTCCACCACTAAGTGACTCAGCAGTACTACAGATTGAGCTGTTCAGGTCTCAAAAGGACATAGCTGCTAGACTGGGTCTGTGGCAGGTAGGGAGGGAACCAACAAGTGGGAAATACATACTTGAACTCATCGTTACTACTCTACCAGCTACAGTTGCATCTGTCCATGACAATAATCGGTAAAAGTAACCATCGCACAGTCCTTGTGGAGACAAAGCCCTGCCTTCGCATTGAGAATAACTTCCATCGCGTTGTGTGGCACTATCACGGTACTAAAATGGGACAGACTTCGCACAGATCTAGCAAATCAAGACTGGGCATCCACAAGGCGCTGTGGGCCATCAACAGCAGAATTGTACTCCAGCACAATCTGTAACCTCATGGCCCAGCATATCCCCAACTCAAGCATTACTACCAAGCTGGGGATCAACCCTGGTTCAATGGAGAGTGCAGGAGGGCATGCAAGGAGCAAGTACCAGGCATACCTGAAGATGAGGTGTCAACCTGGTGAAGCCACCAAACAGGACAACTTGCACGCCAAACAGTGAAAGCAGCAAGTGATAGACAGAGCTAAGCGATCCCACAACCAACAGATCAGATTTAAGCTCTTCAGTCCTGCCACATCCAGTGGTGAATGGTGGTGGACAATTAAACAACTGTCTGGAGGCAGCGGCTCCACAAATATCCCCATCCTCAATGATGGAAGAGCCCAGCACATCAGTGCAAAAGATAAGGCTGAAGGATTCACAGCAATCTTCAGCCAGAAGTGCTGAGTGTATGATCCATTTCAGCCTCCTCCATTGGTCCCCAGCATTACAGATACCAGTCTTCAGCCAATTCAATTCACTCCATGTGATATCAAGAAATGGTTGGAGACACTGGATGCTGCAAAGGCTACCAGTCCTGACAACATTCTGGCAATAGCACTGAAGACTTGTGCTCCAGAATTTGCCACTCCCTTAGCCAAGCTGTTCCAGAACACAGTCACAACACAGGCATCTACCCGACAATGTGGAAAGTTGCCCAAGTATGTCCTGTACACAAAAAGCAGGACAAATCCAATCCAGCCAATTAACGCCCCGTCAGTCTACTCTCAAATCATCAGTAAAGTGATGGAAGACATCATCAATAGTGCTATCAAGCAGCACCTGTTCGGCAATAACCTGCTCAATGATGCCCAGCTTGGGTTCTATCAGGGCCACTCAGCTCCTGATCTCATTACAGGCTCAGTTCAAACATGGACAAAAGAGCTGAATTCCAGAGGTGAAGTGAGTGTAACAGCCCTTGACATCAAGGAGCCCTCACTAAACTGGAACCAATGGGTATCAGGGGCAAACTCTCCACTGGTTGGAGTCATACCTGACACATAGGAAGGTGGTTGTGGTTGTGGGAGGTCAATCATCTCAGCTCCAGGAGTTCTTCAGAGTAGTGACCTCGGCCCAACTATCTTCAGCTGCTTCATCGATGACCTTCCCTCCATCATAAGGTCAGAAGTGGGGATGCTCGCCAATGATTGCACAATGTTCAGCGCCATTCGTGACTCCTCAGATACTGAAGCAGTCCATGTTCACATGCAAGAAGATCTGGATAATATCCAGGCTTGGGCTGACAAGTGGCAAGTGACTTTTGTGCCACACAAATGCCAGGCTATGACCATCACCAACAAGACACAATCTAATTACTACCCCTTGATACTCAATAGTGTTACCATCACCGAATCCCCCACCATCAACATCCTGGGTGTTATCATTGACTAGACTCACCACAAACATAGTGGCTACGAGAGCAGGTCAGAAGCTAGGAATAGTGCAGCGAATAACTCATCTCCTGACTCAAAGCCTGTCCACCATTTACAAGGTGGAAGTCAGGAGGTGTGATGGAATACTCCCCACTTGCCTGGATGAGTGCAGCACCAAAAACACAAGAAACTTGACACCATCCAGGACAACGCTGCCTGCTTGATTGGCACTACACAAGTATCCACTCCCTCCACGACCGAAGTTCAGTAGCAGCAGTGTGGACTATTTACAAGATGCATTGCAGAAGTTCATCAAAGATCCTCAGACAGCACCTTCCAAACCCACAACCACTTCCATCTAGAAGGACAAGGGTAGCAGACATATGGGAACATCACCACCCCCAAGTTACCCTCCAAGCCACTCATCATCCTGACTTGGAAATATATTGTCGTTCCTTCACGATTGCAGCGTTGTAATCCCTCCCCAATGGCATTGTGAATCAACCTACAGTAGGAGGACTGAAGCAGTTCAAGGCGGCAGCTCACCACCACCTTCTCAAGGGCAACTAGGGATGGGCAAGGAATGCTGGCCAGCCAGTGATGCCCACATCCCACAAACGAATAAACAAAAACCAAAATTGCTCAATTATTAAATAACCGATCATGGTGATGATCATAACATTGCTTCAAAGCTCCTGCATGAAACTGAAATAAAATGATAGCATGGAAAGTGTTCTTACAGACTTCATTACTTAAAATACTTTATGCTCATATACATAGATATTATATAATAGTTTATCAATGAAATGAGGAGACACTCAATTCCGACAAGCACAAGCTTTAGAAAACTTGCATGGAAATTGTTGCCTCAAGATTTGGATCAATTTTTAACAGACTAAAGCACTGTTAACAAACATGCTAGAGAAACATCACAGCATAGCTCAGTCTGAAGAACATTCGCTGTACTGTTACAGCGCCACTGCTGAACTAACCTGGTAAGTGTAAATTGTAATCCATTGCCCGAAATCGGGACTATCTTGATATTCAAAACTCAGTTTCGGTTTCAGTTCGGTTTCTTCTTGTACCTATGAAAGAAGAACAAAGAAACTGGAAATCATTTACATAGTATTAAAATCAGATAAACAGTAAAACACATGAAAAATTGCTCAAGAGTTGCATGTTATCATTAAGAGCTGATTTCCCCCAATGCGATGTTCTTGACACTGAAAATAAAACCCTAAACATAACATCTGATTTTGATATAATTAAAAACAATTCTGAAAGTTAAACTCCTTGGTCTCCCACCCATCCTTGTTGCAGACAGCTGCCATATTATTCAAAATTAGCACAAAAACGTGAGGCGGCCCAAGACAGACTCCCGGCCTCGAGGGGGCTCAACATGAACTCCCAGCCTTGTACCTAAGATGGCACCGGAAATGGCAACTTTGTACACTTTTTGCTGTACGCATCTATCCCTGTACTTGAGTACATGTGACAATAAACCTAATTCTAATATTGAAGCATCTACTTTTCCATAATTCAAGAAAGCACCATTAGAGATTTAAGCCTTCACAAATACAGTAATATGTATCGAAACTGCTTTCTGGATAAACCACAATCCAACAAGACAAAAAAGAAACCGAGAAGCATTGCGCGTGTGCAATCAGAAGATATGCTTTTGGTTTCCTTGTGAGGAAGTGGATTGGTTGTAGCGTTCATGGTGAAGACATTTGTTTAATCGGCAGTTGGCACTGGTTATAGAAATATAGAATTCCCATAGCATGGAAACAGGCCATTTGGCGCAATAAGTCCACACCAACCCTCCAAAAGAGCATCCCACTCAGACCCACACCCCTACCCTACCTGTGTATTTCCTATATCTAACTCACCTTAGCTACAGATCCCTGAACACTATGGGTAATTTAACACTGTCAAACCACCTAACTTGCGCATCTTTCGACTGTGGGAGGAAACCAGAGCACCCGGCGGAAACCGACGCAGACATGGGGAGAATGTGCAAACTCCATACAGACAGGAAGGATTTTAACTGAATCTCAGAATAGTTAAATAGTTGGGGGGGGAAGTGAGAAGTGGTGATGAATAATAAGGATGTAATTGTATCGGAGGCAGTTCAAAGGTGGTTCACTAGATTAATTCTGGAGTTAAAAGTCTGGTTTTAAGAAGAAATAGAGTAGTTTTGGTGTGTATTCACTAGAATTCAGAAGAATGAGAGGAAATCAAATTGGAAGTATTTACGATGTTACAGGGGATTGACAAAGTAGGTCTAGAAAGAGAGGTCATTGTCTTAAAACCCTTAGCCTAAAACTGAGATGAGGAGAAATTACTTTTTCCTAAGAGTTGTGAATCTGTGGAATTCACTAATTCAGACTGAGGTGGATTCTGGGACACTGAATAAGTTTAAAGAAGAGATAGATAGATTTTTAATTAGAACAGATCAAAGGGTTATGGGGAGCGGGCAGGAAAGTGAAGTTGAGGCCGAGATTAGATTGTATTAATGACAGAACAGGCTCAGGAGACTGAATTGCTCTTAATTCTTGAGAGTGCTGTGTTCAGGGAAAGTGGCAACAACTTGAGAAGGTAAGTCTTTGAAATTGGAAGAATAATAAGGTTAGAGTAAAGGACAAAACGGTAGGTTAATGAGGGCAGAAGTAATAGTAAACAGTGAACAATTCGGGGGAAACAGTGCTGTTGACTGGGAGAATTCAGAATAATTAGTACTTGGGGAGAGGACACTGGAATGCAGCTGGCTGTGGGGAGGTTGTGGAGGATTCAAGGGGATAAAAAAGTCTTTGGCAATTGTGGATATTAGGAGAATAGAGTTTGGAGCATAGGTTAGGTGTGAAAAAACAAAAGGATAGCAGAGAAGGAGAAGGAGTTGACATCATTGAGTTGCAGTTATATGGATCATGCTCGTAATCTAAGAAAATAAAATAAATTTTGTTGGCAGCACAGTGGCTCAGTGGTTAACACTGCTACCTCGCAGCGCCAGAGACCCGGGTTCGATTCCACCACTTGGCGACTGTGTGGAATTTGCACATTCTCCCTGTGTCTGCGTGGGTTTCCTCCAGGTGCTCAGGTTTCCTCCCACAGTCTAAAGGTGTACAGGCTAGGTGGATTGGCCATGTTAAATTTCCCTTAGTGTTCAGGGATGTGGAGCTTAGATGGGCTATAGGGGAATGGGTCAGTGTGGACTTGTTGGGCCGAAGGACCTGTTTCCACACTATAGGGATTTTATGAGATTCTATGAATTGTGTTATATATGAAGGCATTATTGAGGTTTTCTTTTTAAAAGGATACGGTACATGATAGTATGGAAGCTGAGCATGGTTGTATTTCAATTGGGAAAGCAGAGGGGTCAAAGCGGAACCCCTGCCTCTCCTGTCTCTATGTTTGATAACTGAAGAACTTGCCATTTTAAAGGGTTGCTCGTGCACCTTTAGCAAGAACCTGAAAAACTGACGTGGAGGTGCTGGTGATGGACTGGGGTGGACAAAGTCATATCAACTTTTATATTTATCATGTTATCCCAGCTATTGGGAATGTCTCCAGCACCACCATATTTTTAATTTTTTGTAATTATCTCTCTGCCTCATCTATTGGTCATCCCTTCACTTCTAATTCAGTGTTGACACTTTACTCTCAGCATCTAACACTTCAGATCACCTGCAGGGACTTATTATTTGGCACTCCACTCACACCATTTGTACGGTCTTTTGAGCTCTCTCTCTCTCTCTCTGCCCACAAATTCTGTGGTGTGTTCTTCTCTCTCACTTCACCTGACGAAGGGGCTATGCTCCGAAAGCTTGTGATTTCAAATAAACCCGTTGGACTATAACCTGGTTTCGTGTGACTTCTGACTGAAAAACTGAAGGAAAGCATGTCAGGTTTCTGAGAGGAATGGGCATTACACCCTTTATTAACATTCACAAGGAGCCTAATACTTCATTCAGATGGCTACCAGAGATGTCGGAATATCGCCAGGCCAGATATGGTGCTGCAGGAACTGTCAGGAAGTTTTTGGGATCAGAATATAACTGCATAGAATTGGTCACTTTTACATCCATTCTAAGTCTAAAAACAAAAGAGCAAAGTCAGCCACAATTTCTCCCTCAATACTTCTGTGTGTCACTTCTTGAACAGAGATACCTTCTTTGTCCCTACTCCATCCTATGCAACTGGTCAGAAAGTGGGCAACAGTTAAACTTTCCTCACCATCCAAGTTTTTTTTTGGCTTCTGGGAAAAGACTTTGCCCCTCCAGACATACTTGACCGGAACTAGAAATTCTTAATGCAAGTAAGAGTACATGCCCGACTGCCTTATTGGAGTTCAGGACTGTAGAAACACTCTGTTACAATCACTTTACGTTTACCCTTAGTGCAGCTGGTTACTTGAACACAGAAAAATCAAACTACCCATGATCAAAGGAAATGAACAAAATATTTGGTCAAGATAAAAGCTTCAGAAAATTTGGTGTGGCAGATGCGAATACTCTAAAACCCACCTCAAGACTCTGCAAAAACTATCCACTATCTACACGAAACAAGCCAGGAGTGTAATGGAATGTTGTCCACTTGCCTGTATAGGTACATCTGCAACATTCAGAAAATACAAAACCAAACAGCCCTTTGATTGGTACCACAGCTAACACCTTCAACATCACTCCATCCACCACTGATGCTCAGTAGCAGCAGATTGCACTGCAGAAAGTCACCAAGGTTCCTCAGACAGTATCTTCCAAATAAGATATTCAGTAACACCATCATCTGAAGGACCCACTCCAAGTCACACAATGTCTTGATGTGAAACAATTTTGCTATTCTTTCTTTGTTGCTGGATCAAAATCCTGGAACTCCCTTCTTAACACCACTGTGGGTGTCCCCACACCTCGAGTCGTTCAAGGCAGTTCATCACTACCTTCTCCAGGGCTATTAGAGATGGGCAATAAATGATGGCCCAGCCAATTATGCCCACATCCCATTAATCAATAAAAAAATACATCGGTGCTTCTGGATGAAGACCCATCCACTCTGGGGGTAATATGGTTGGGTGTAAGAGGGGAACATGCCCTTGACCAGTGTAAGTTGATACCAGGGAGGACAGAATCAAGTTCAGATGTAATTTCTCTCACTTTGAGTTTGCCCACAGGTACTCAGAATCTTAAATTGAATAGAAAAGCTCCCACAGCACATGTATGGCAGAATGGAGCCCAGTGAGGCCATAGGCTTAGTCCCCTGTACATGGAACTGGGCATTTGTCCATTACTGGTGCATCACACCAAGGCATGGCAGAGCAGCACCTACCCCAATGTCAGAGTGGCACCAAGACTCTCAGGCAGCAGCCAGAGACCTGGGAACTACTGGAAACAAAAACAAGACAACTGATTAAGAGAGAAATCTGGGGCATTTCCATAGGTAAATAGTACCTCAGACACTTCTAGGATTTCGTGGATTTCTCATCAGCTGTCAGCTGATGTACAATTTATAAAAGGTCCCACTCCCATGACTGTAGAGGTATGATCGGAGCAACTGCCTGACTATGCCGATGCTCCAGGACCCATAGAAGAGGCTGTACTTGACTTACTGTGACAGCATCCTCTGCCTGAAGGGTGTCTCCCTGGACTTGAAAGGACCACTCCCTGGAGATTTTGAGACATTGCATGTCTTCAAACAAACAGCTATGTACTTAGCACGCACACAGCTGGCACAACAGAGAATGTTCTACAGCAACATGTCCACGTGTTGATTGATGACAACCATGGCAAATTGCCTGGCTTTATGACTGCACTAAAAATCAAGTCAGGGCAGTAAGCATTTAAAGTGCAGCTCAGAAAGCAAAGTTCCAAAAACTGAAGGGATGGCTGAGATGGGTGACCCAGGCCCAACTATTTTCAGCTGTTTCAACAATGACCTTCCCTCCATCATATAGTCAGAAGTAAGAATTTTCACTGATGATTGCACAATGTTTAGTACCGTTCATGGCTCCTCATATATTGAAGCAGTCCATGCCCAATTGAAGTTAGACATGGACAATATCCAGAGCTGACAGGAGGCAAGTAATATTCGGGCCACACAAGTGCCAGACAATGACTATCTCCAACAAAAACCATCAGCCAGTGACGTTTACTGGCAAAACAATCACTGTATCCCCCACCGTTAACATCCCGGGGTTTACCGTTAACTAGAAACTGAACTGGACCAGCTGTGTGAATATTGTGGCTACAAGTGCAGATCAGAAGCTAGGAATCCTGCAGTGAGTAGCTCATCTACTGACTCCCCAAAGACTGTCCACCATCTACATGGCACAGATCAGGAGTGTGATGGAATACTAAGTTGCTGGAAAAGCTCAGCAGGTCTGGCAGCATCTGTGAAGGAAAAAATCTGAAGGACCCTTCCTCAGAACCGGACCCAAAACGTTAACTCTGTTTTTTCCTTCACAGATGCTGCCAGACCTGCTGAGCTTTTCCAGCAACTTTGTTCTTGTTCCCGATTTACAGCATCCGCAGTTCTTTTTGTTTTTATTGTGAGATGGAATACTCCCCACTTGCCTGGATGAGTCCATCTCCAAGAACACTCATAAAACTTGACCATCTAGGACAAAACAGCCTGATTGTTTGTAGACATGGTGCCAATCATTCACTTCCTCTATCATTGCCACTTAGTAGCAACGATGTGTACCATCTACAAGATGCACTTAAATTCAAAGATCCTTAGATAGCACCTTCTAAACCCACAGCCACTATCATGTGGAAGGAGAAGGGCAGCAGATACATAAAAACACCACTGCCTACAAGTTCTCCTCCAAGCCACTCACCATCCTGACTTGGAAATACATCGCCATTCCCTCTGTGACTGGGTCAAAAATCCTGGAACTCCCTCCTAATGGCATGGTGGGTCTACCTACAGCACATGGACTGCAGCGGTTCAAGACTACAGCTCACCACCACCTTCTCAGAGCAACTAGGGACAGGCAACAAATGCTGGCCTAGCCAGCATTTCACACACTGACGAGTGAATAGTTTAAAAAAAAATACTGTGAGCACAGCGGTAAGCACACAGGGAGTCAAAGTTAAAAGAGCAAGTAAGAAGCCCCAGGATGAAGCCTGGTGCAATCTATTAGCTGGGTGGCCATCCCTGCAACAACATTGCAATGAAAAGTGCCAGTACGCTCCAAATTACAGCATTAAAGTGCAGAGCTGGACTGTAAGTAGCTCAGAGATGCGCCATGATGATGGAGTGAGGCTGGTACCCGTCAATATCATGGATGTAGGATACATGTGGTCACTGTTCATGAAGCACAACCTAAGAGTTTGGTTCCCATATGCCCAAGATGGAGATATGGAGGTGCAAGTGGCGAGTCTGTGTCATGAGGTAATCTCCCTGACTTTCATGTTGAGAATTGTCAGCATCTAGTTTCTATCCGATGGATGGTGGTATGGCAAATTGTATATTAATAAAGCAGGATTAAGTTTTAATGAAACAAAAACAGGAATTGCTGGAGAAGTTCAGCAGATCTGGCAGCATCTGTGGAGAGAAAGCAGAGTTAACATTTCGAATCCAATGATCGTTCTTCACCAGACTTGGAACAGTTTTTGAGTCACTATTTTCTGACCACAGATGCTGCCAGACCTGCTGAGTTTTTCCTGCAATTTCAGTTTTAGTTTCAGATCTTCAGAATCCACAGTTGTTTTATTTAAGTTACAATGAGGCTGTTAATGAGTGATATATAAGCTATGCTAAAAAGAATCTGGTGAGAATCTCGTCTCACCAGATATTTGGATGGAAAATGGGACTTTTCAGTTTAGATGTTGAGAACTTCTCACCCAATTTTCTCACTATGGCCCACATTGTTCGGGGACTGGGATGGTAATATCCATGGAAAGACCAAATATGTAGGTCTTCACAATACATGATCTAAGCTGCTCTGCCTTTTTGCCCATCCATGTCTACGTGAGATCATCTGATTGAGTGGAGCTTAACTCATTCTCCAACATTAACTCTATCAGAGCCTGCCAAATGTTGCAGTACTAACAACTGACAACGAGTGCTTGAAGTACATTGCTATCAGCAATTCTTTTTACTGTTTTAAAATAACCAAATTTAGTATAGACAGGCCCTAAGGGGGTGTTGTAATTAATTTTGAGTCTAAGGACCTACGTATTTGTAGGATTGAAATGAGCCATTCTTGAGTATTAACAAAGAGATGGGCCTGATCTTTGCACAAAATATAAATTCATTGCATGATACCAATACATACAAGTTTGACAATTTAGGCAAAAAATTGTCAAAAAAAGACTTCCAAAGGAGACAAATATCTTCGCCATTGGGACCTCATGCTTAATTCTCCAGTTCTCCACCCAGACTGTGAGATATCATATTGGATGGAGAATCAGTCTCCAATGTTAATCCTTTTAGAAGCATTATCTTATGCAACAGTCTGAGCTTTCTAACGAAACAAGTCTCAAGGTTATTTAGAATTCTGTCCATTCAACATTTTCAATTGTTTTCTGTTGTTCTGAATATTACAAAATACCTTCTGGAAATGCATGTAGACAACATCCAGAAGAATCAAAACAGATTACTCTTTACAGTTTGCCAAGCTGAATCTCTTTCACCAGTTTAAAATCTCAGTGACTCTATCCCTAAGTAAGTGCTCATTGTTTATACAGTTTCCAAATATTGGTATCTTAAAAAGTTGTTCAAGCCTCAAAATGCTGGTAGTTGTTTAAACAACTAATTCTCAAGAAATGGTCTGTTTTATTTTCCAACGGTCAAATAAACGTTATGTACACATGTTCCTTCTCATGATCTGTCAATAGATTTAACCAAATGGCAGCCATACATAGCTGATTGGATGCTGTTTATTTCAAAATATTTTGGAAAAGATGTAAGTAACACCTCTTCCTCACAGGATGTGACAGCAATAAAAATAGAATTGTAAATAAAACAGCGAGAAAATATTAGTCCAAAGTTTCACAGAAGGTCAATAAGTATCAGCAGAAATACAGCAATCTTAAGTCCCTAGGGTGGGGGAGTTCAAAACTAGGGGGCATTTATCTTTAAAGAGAGAGGAGAATGTTTTTAAAAGGACATGAGGGACAACTTTTTTTTTAAAAAGAAAATGCACAGACTAGTTCATGTGTAGAAAGGATTGCCAGAAGTAGTAGTGTTGGATGCAGGTACTGTTAGAACGTTTTGAAGATATTTGGATAAGTTCATGAATAACAAAGGTTTGGAGGGATATGGGCCAAATGCAGGCAAGTCGGACTAGTTTAGTTTGGGAACATGTCAGCTTGGACCAGTTGGACCGTATGGCCTGTTCCCACGTTGTGACACACCAGTATTTTAAACATACTTTCATGTCCACCTAAATCCACCTGACATGTGGACATATATTTGATAAAATTTGACTAAAATTATTAAACACAAATTACTTACCTGCAGACTGATTTTCCAGCATCTTATTCTGTTGACTTTGAAGCTGACTTCCTTGATCTCGTTACTTGGTAACTGGATGCAGCAATTAATCTCATCATTGCCCACCCGAACAACAGAAGGACAGTTGGGTTCTGGGTAATCACAGGTGCAGGCCTCAAACAGTACATACCCATAGAACTTTACTTTCTCTATAGTTTCAAGGAACTGAAAGATAACAATTTTGAACAAGTGGTTAATATATAATTCTGTCTTAAGTTCTTGGTAGCTAAGCAACACTGCTGGCAACACATGCAAGCCCTCAACAAAAATGAAATGTTCCAAACCCTTTCACAAGACCACTATCAAACACAAAGCTCCACTAAAAATAATCAGGATAGATAAACAACAAGTTGTAAGGAGTGTCTTAAAGCTAGAAAGAAAGGTGGTGAGTTGCAGAAAGGGAACTACAGAGCTTTGTAGTTAACAATGGTGAAGGCAGGTCTATTGCAAAGATTGCACTTCACAAAGTGAGTGCGTTGGAGACTGTCCCAATTAGAAATCCATTGTCAAATCTATTCATTTGCAATACCATGCCCCATAACAATTTGTTTTCTTGTTCTACTTGAAATTGGATGTTAGTTCAAAAAATTGGAAATATTCAAGGGGCTAGAATTATGAAGTGATGATATGGATGGTATTGGCTGGAGGAGGTTTTACAGATAGTGGGGTGTGTGGCCATGGATAAGTTTGAAAGAAAAACGGATGAGGAAAAATGAGAAAATGGAGGTTTTGCTAAACCTGGAGCTAAATGTAGGTCCCTGAGCACAAGAACAATAGATGAACAAGAACTGGCGTGAATGAGGACCCGTGCAGCAGCACAGTTTTGGATAGCTTAGTGGTGGGAAGAGAGGCCATTGTCAGTGATTCTTTGGACATTTGATAAGAAAGAATCCGGTAAAAATCAGTCAACATGACTTGTCTCCCCCTCCCGCCAATCTGGAATACAGTTGTTGTAACAGGATCTTTTGGTCAAATGACTCAAAAGGGTGAAAACAAGCCATAAGACCGTAACATATAGGAGCAGAATTAGGCCATTTGGTTCATCGAGTCTGCTCTGCCATTCAATCATGGCTGACATGTTTTGCAACCCCATTGCCTTCTCCTTCTCAACTTTGATCCCCTTAATAATCAAAAACCTATCTGTTTATGTCTTAAATACATTCAATGACTTGATCTCCATAACTTTTTGCAGCAGTGAGTTCCACAGATTCACTACCCTCTGGCTGAAGAAATCTCTCCTCATCTCATTTCTAAAGTATTGCCCCTTCACTGAGGCTGTGCCCTTGAGTCCTAATCTCTTCTACTGGTGGATACATCTTCACATCCAATCTATCAAGGCTTCTCAGCACTCTAAGTTTCAATGCAATCTCTCTATCGTCCATCTTAACTCCATTGAGTACAGACCGAGAGTCCCCAACCGTGCCTCATAGGACATCCCTGGAATCATTTTTGTAAATCTCCTCTGTGTCCCCTCCAATACCAGCACATCGTTCCTCAGGAACTGGGCCCAGACTGCTCACAATATTCCAAATGCCATCTGACTAGAATCTTATATAGCCTCAGCAGATCTCTGCTCTTGGATTCTGACGTGGAGACGCCAGCGTTGGACTGGGATGGACAAGGTCAAAAATCACACGACACCAGATTATAGTCCAACAGGTTTATTTGAAAATGCAAGCTTTTGAAGATCAGCTCCTTCCTTAAAATCAATGCTAATTGCATTTACCTCCCAGCTGCCAACTGAACGTACACATTAACCTGAAAAGAATCCTGAACTAGCACTGCCAAGTCCCTTTGGGCTTCAGACTTCCAAAGCCTTTTCCCATTTAGAAAATAGCCTACACACCTATTCTTCCAAACAAAGTGCATAACCTCACACTTCCCCACATTGTATTCCATTTGTTACTTCTTTATCCACTCTCATAATATGCCCAATTCCTTCTGCAGCCTCCCCATTTCCTCAATACTACTTGTCCCTCCAACTATTCTTGTGACATGTGCAAACTTAGCGACTATACCTTCAGTTTCTTTGTCCAGATCATTAATGTACAGGTAGTTCTCCTATAATGTGATAGTTGCATTCTTGTGTGATCTCATGCTATACAAAATTGCACTATAGAAAATCACATTATAGGGAAAATTCTCGTTATCCAAATAACATCCACGATACAAAAATCGCATTATAGCCAATTCGCGTTAACAAAACAAGTGTTACAGCAGAACTACCTGTATAATATGAATTGTTGCGGTCCCAAAACTGATCCCTATGGAACTCCAATAGTGACTGGCTGCCATCCTGAAAAGACCCCTTTATCCCCGTTCTCTGCCTTTTGCCAGTCAGCCAATCATCTAACACCCTGGGCTCTTATCCTATTTAACAGCCTCCTGTGCGGCTCCTTGTCAAGACTTTCTGGTAATCCAAATAGAACACATCCACCGGCTCTCCTTTGTCTAGTTTTCTTTGTAACTACTCAAAGAATTCTAACAAATTTGTCAGGCATGACCTTCCCTTGAGTAAGCTGTGCTGATTTAGCCCTTTTTTATCATACATACCTAAGTGTTCTGCAATCTCATCCTGAATAATGGACTCTAAAATCTGACCAATGACCAAGGTCAGGCTAACTGCCCTATAGTTTCCTGTATTCTATCTCTGTCCCTTCTAAAACAGGCTTCCTGCGTTAGCCATTCTGTGACTCCCCCCAACTCCAGTGATCCCTGAAAGATCACCAGCAATGCCTCCACAATCTCCTGTGAAGGATGAGGAGGGCTGGTTTATCACAGTAACATAGAACATCATTTGTGATTTTGTAAAAAGCAGGTTCATTTGGCAGGGGCAAATCCCTGACTTGGGGGGGATTTGAATTGGAGCTCCAAGGATGACAGACACAAATTTGTTAGAGACAACATGTCCAAAGATTTTGCAGGAAAAGGGATAGGGCAGTAATTTGCAAGGATGGAGAAATTAAGAGTTGATTTGAGTTTTCAAATGAACTTGCAAGGTGAAAGCCAATTAAAGATAATTCTGACTATCCAGTACTGGATGTTGGAGAAGCATGAGGCCGTCACTGACCAGGTAGCATTTATTGCCCATCCCTAATTGTCCAGAGGGCAGTTAAGAGTCAAACACATTGCTGTGGGTCAGGAGTCACATGTAGGCCTGACCAGGTAAGGATGGCAGTTTCCTTTCCTGAAGTACATTAGTGAACCAAATGAGTTTGCCCGACAATTGACAACGGGCATCATTAGATCCTTTATTCCAGAAATTTTGTTGAATTTGAAATCCACCATCTACCATGGTTGGGATTTGAACTCAGACTCCCAGAACGTTACCTGGGTCTCTGGGTTAATAGTCTAGTGACAACACTACTAGGCAATTGCCTCCTCCAAGTAGAAAAATTAGAGTCGTTGAGAGAGGTTGGAAGAGATGGGTGTCAGACTACAAGTATACTTTTGGATAATGCTTAAATAAAGGTATTGCATGTCGATGAGAAGTTGGCCAAGGATCGACCCTGGAGGGACACCAAAGGTAACTTTACAAGGTGCATAAAGAATCTATTGTAAGTGGCACCCTGGCTACAATGTATAAGAGCAGAACCCAGGCAGCTGGACACTAGTGTTGAATGAGGATGGTGTGAAAGGCTGCAGACAAGTGAAGAACAACAAGCAAGGAAAGTTTACCTTTGTCACAATCGCACAAGATGCCACTTGTGACTTGCATAGAGATGGTTCAGTACTTTGGCAGAGGCAGGAATCTTATTAGAGGAATTAAAATGTGCTAGAATGGATAAACATTACATTTTTTCAGGCTTCACCAAATCCATACAGAAACAATAAAATCCTCTCATTGGAAAGCCTCCAGTTGACTGCTTGTTAATTACCATTACTCTTAGCATCATCTCTGCCACAACTGCATACATTTTGAATTCTTGCTATAAAGAAAAGAATATGCTGCAGTGGAGCAGCATGTGGCCTGCACGGTTGCTCAAGCCTAGTTACTGAGTATAATTCAGCAGGAAAAAGGGGAACCAGGAATTTCAATATATCAAGGGCCAGTGTATTTTGTTAATCAATATGGGATTTAAGCATTGCCTTACAAACAGTGGGAAGATTAAGAAAGGGGATAAATTCAATGTCAAATCATGCACAGAAAGAGAAATAAAAAGAAAATTTGAACTGAGGAAAGTGGAAGGATAGAAATATTGTGGCAGTTTATAATTTATGGGTTAATCCCTTTCTTGTCACAAGGTTCCGAACAATTTGCATATTCATACCGTATTGTACACAAACAAGCTTTTTTCTCCCCCCAACAAATTGCAGCTGATTGAATAAGAATAATTTTACCTCTGTCTTCATTTCTGCATCTTGGAAAGCTTTCAGCTGCTGGTATTGCTCCTCAGTAGGACTGGCCCAGCCTTGATCCAGCTCGTATGCAGCCTGAGATTAGATGGAGAAGAGGGAAGAAAAATAATAAAAATTCCTGCTCATATTTTGTAAACTAAGGGTGAATTTCCGTAAATATTTTACACAAGTGAGGCAAAATTCCACTGTCTTCACTTCAGCTGACACAAACAAACAGATGACAAATAATTATCATCCAATTTTGATTACACATCAACAATCCGAAGAGTTTCAAATAATGATCTTAATAATGATCATCCAAACTGTGCTAATTTTTGTCATTGTTTTAATAAATAATTTTATTTCTCAACTTTCTACTCAAATGCATTTAAAAGACAAAGATAAGAGAGAAAAAATCTGCCATGAAGAAGTTAAACCGGACAAAGTTTTACAATTTAATTTTCTAAAAATTCTGCATTATATTTCTCATATTTAAAGTGTGGTAACCTGGTGCAATTTAAATTTGAAAATGTTTTTGTGTGTGTTGGAAAAATTGTTCTATAATGTCTACTTCACCATTTGAGAGTAATTAGGAATAAAGTAAATGAAAAATGATACAAAGAAACTATTCAGAACCATTTACTGGTTTCACTGATGCAAAGCGAAACAGCTCAAGACATTTCATTACGGCAGTTAGAATAGAGGATCTGAATATTATTTAATTGGAAAAATACTGCTAAAAGCTACAGCAGAGGAATTTTGGAGTCTTCGTGCATACATCACAAAAAAAACTAGAACCCAAATTCAGCAGGTAGAAGGGAAGGCAAGTAGAATGTTCGTCTTTATTTCAAAAGGGAATGGAATATTAAGATATGGAGATCATTAGACCTCTTCAATATTCAACAACTCGTCCTGTTTGTTCTTTATTACTCATGTACTGGCAGTGTTCAATTGGAGTACAGTAAGCTGCTTACATTCATACTCTGAACTTTACTACTGACAGCCACAGAGATCCATTTCCCTTACCTGGCTGTATAATAACGAGACACCACCACTACTTTGCATGAGTATTTTATTTTCCGATGGATCCAAGTAACTGAGGAGAAAAAAAAAATCTTGTTCATTGGGTTAAAAAGACCAGAAACTACCTCAATTACAAAAAAGTCTGAAAACACAAAATAAATTTGGCTCCGTCAGCAAATTCAATTCAGTTCAGGAAGGAACAATGCAGCTCTAAATGCAAAATCCTGTTTATTTCCACAGATGAACTACATATGATTTATTTTCTACTTTAATTCTTTTGAGCTCTGCTTTATTTTCAAGCTTCCTTAAAGTGGTATAAATCTTAACTGGAGGCTCAGAAACAGTCCTCACCCTTCCGCCAACTTCCAATGGATGCCTCCTATCCTTTTTAGGATGCAGAAGGACCAAGCCTTCATTATGTGGGTTAGCGACAGAGCACTGCAAATGCACTGTGCATGAAAACATAGGTTCAGTATTGGAGAAAGATGACATGTATTCTGGCAGCAACAAGGCTTTTCAAAACTATCTTTTACAAACAGCTTTAGAGCAGGGACTCATCATGTAGAAATTTCTCACTGGGCAGGAAAGAAAGAGTCATCTGAACAGAATGGAAAATTGTCTTTATTCATAGTGACAATCTGTCGAAAGTAATAAATGCCAAACGTCTAGTAAAGGCTTTCCATTGCATACGTAGGTAGCTACTGTTTACGTTGGACAACTTGGCCAATTAAACTAATAAGGTGCAGGGCTGGATGAACACAGCAGGCCAAGCAGCATCATAGGAGCAGAGAGGCTGACGTTTCGGGCCTAGACCCTTCATCAGAAAAGGGGGAGGGGAAGGGGGTTTTGAAATAAATAGGGAGAGAGTGGGAGGCGGATAGAAGAGGGATAGAGGAGAGGATAGGTGGAGAGGAAACAAACAGGTCGAAGAGGCGGGGATGGAGCCAGTAAAGGTGAGTGTAGGTAGGGAGTTAGGAAGGGGATAGGTCAGTCCAGGGAGGACGGACAGGTCAAGGGGGCGGGATGAGGTTGGGCGGTAGGAGATGGAGGTGCGGCTTGAGGTGGGAGGAGGGGATAGGTGGGAGGAAGAACAGGTTAGGGAGGCAGGGACG